GACAGCACCCAGTACAAATCCGGTTGAAAAATGCCTGTACTTGAGGCTTAAATGTAAGTGAAGCTACCAACCAAACCAACTTTAGCTGGAAAAGCGTGATTGGCTATTTGGTAGTGACTGGCGGTGAGTCTGACGCACGTGATTAGGCCAAATCTAGAATACAAGGTAGAGGCTGTTGTCAAGTCTCTATTGGGCTCCACTTGAAAAGCACGTCGCACGTGCCATTCATAATTGCCGCCAATTATTAACGCCGTCAACCGTCACATTAATTTCTAGGTGGCCGTTACTCCCCGTTAAAATACTTTTTTGCTTTATTGCTCTCGAGATCCCAATTCCGTTAACGTCGGTGGAGAGCAAATATTCGTCAAAATTCTTCTTTTACTTTTACTGCACCCCTTTTTCGGAGTTGAAAGATTCCTTACGAGGTACGTACAAGCAGTGAAAAATAGAGTTCACCAATTCACTCACTTAAAATTAGGGACGATAATCAAGCTGAACTTACTCAAATAAAGGTAAAGGTGACAAAATGGGTCGAATCATTCACGCACTCGATTCAATCCATGGACAATATGGGCTCGTTGTGCGATGAGCCATAAATCGAGTCAAACACTCTTTTTTACGAGTTGGCTTGTGGATTGACTCATTTTTCAATTTATTTTATTAATTTTTTATTTTTTTGAAAAAAAGTTGGCTCCACACATGATACCCTATGCTAAAGGGTCGAATCGAGCCTAGTTTGTGGACACAATCCGAGCTTGGGCGTTCATGGATCTAATCAGCTCAACTCGATCAATTGTCGCTCTACTTATAGTGTCATACTAATCTTTTCTGTAACATTTCAATTTTATCATAGGTTTCCTAAAAGATCTAAACAATTTATAGGGCTAACGAGTTGAAATTTTGTTATCAAATTCAATTGAATGAAAAAGATTCAAACTTTATCTGTTGTTCATTCTCTGAATACGATTATTGGGAAGACAATTATCCCTCTTCAAACTTTATAGTTAAATTTGTGTAATATGCGAAAATTGTGAATATTAGGGCTGTCTGTGGGTCGATTCGGTTCGATTCTGAAGAGACCCGAACCGACCTAAAACTTTCGGGTATTTAATAAATGGAGCCTCGGGTCCAAATATAATTATGGAACCGTTCGGGTTCGGTTCCGTTCGATTCAGTTCGGGTCCGTTCGGTTCCGTACCATAATTAAATTTTTTAATATTTACAGCAACACTACATAAATACAACTAATGACATTTCATTCGTAACTTTTACAAATTAACGTAGCCCAATTCAAAAACATATAAATAACTAGTCGTCCAA